CTTAGTGATTGATTTCCTGTTCGGTGGTGATTGAATTTACAGGAAGTTTTCTTTCGCCTCCTTTCTATCGAGAGAGATTTTCTATCGAGACGGACGAGATAGAAATTTAGGGTTGGATCAGAGGGTTTAATAGAAGAGGGGAAAATGGAGCTCCGAAGACAACGGAGAAAATACTTTTTTCTCCGTAGTCTTCGGAGGAGCAATCGATTTGAATTTTTATTTTGTTTTGTTTCTTCTTCTCTATGTTTTAGTCAATAATTGCGGCTAACGAAAAGTCTATATTACCCTTTTGTTTACCTTTTGTTTTGAGAAAATGAATAGTAAACAGGGATAAAAGGGAAATGGAAAATGCTTCAAAATGAACAGTACTCATCGGATGAATAAAAAATGCTACATTAAAACAGTAGTGAGCAGGGGGTAATTAGGGAAACGAAAATGCTTCAGAATGAATAGTAATCGACGGATTGGCTCTTTTATTATAGTAGGGATATGCAGGTAGTGAAAAGGTTGGTCCACCTAGTACTAATAAATAAAAAGAATTATGCGGATATGACTTCTCTAGACATTGCTGAGAGCAAAGAAAACAAAGATGTTAAAGAAGTTTTACATCGTGCACATGCCAAAAGGGCACAAGAACTGCCTGAATTTACCCTAGTACAATATTTGTGCTCACCACAGGGATTTATTGAGAGAATGTTCAGAAGTTTTATTCTTGTGCGGAAGGATTTGTCTGTTGATATGCGCAATGTCTTGTTACTGGTAGCTGTATTGATTGCTACTGCTACATATCAAGCTGTACTGAGCCCTCCAGGTGGAGTCTATCAAGGAGATGCCAACACTAATAACACTGTGATTAAAGTTGCCAGAGCAACCATTCCTATTATACATCCATTGAGGGAGCGGGAAATAAGCCGTGTTGGCAAAATGGTCATGACAAAGAGCGTATACAACCAGTTCATGCCTGCGAATACTGTGGCTTTCATTCTTTCACTTTCAGTGATAGTCTTCGTGCTGCATGCTCGCCTTTACACCATAATCTTGCATGGTTGCCTCATATTTCTTGCGTATGGCTACCTCGTTGCCATGGTTTATATATCGGATTCTTCTAATATTTCTCGTCTTCTATTCATCCTTTCCTGGTTCGCAGTAGTCATTGTTTTTGTGTTGAAAATGAAGTACTATCTGGTGAAGGCTTTGTGTGTGGTCGGTCATCGGGCTAACATATGTAACCTTTTTGACAAACTTCCTCAAGAAGTCTCTATGATTAAGTACATAAGAAGAATGGAAATGCAATACAGAGTACTCAGAAAGTAAGTCAGCATAGCCATAGGAGACAAGGAGCCAAAACCCTCAAATACTAGTGACATTTCGTTTTGTTGTTTCTGTATTCACTTAGTCATGTTTTCTTCATGTATTCATTGGTTTGTATCGTCTTTTGAATATAATTTGATCACAATTAAGAGGTTTTGAATATAAATTTTGTGAGGTGGATCACTTTAATCCACTTGGCACATGAGAATTTGTTTTGAGCGCTTCGAAAGGATTGTACTAGTTGATGTCTATTATAGACCATAGATTAAATTTAATTGGATTTAATCTTGTGGTCAATTACACATACTAGTTATGTCTCATTCATAGTATAATATTTGAATTTGAATTTGAATTCAAATGAACATTTGACTCTATAATTACAAAATTTTTTCACATTTTCATTTGGACTTGGCATAACAAAAGAGAGAAAATATAAAGAGGTAACCAAGTGGGAGAAGTTCATATCTCCGACGAAATTTTTGGTGGCTTCCGGCGGATTTATTTCTCAATATATTCATTGCCATTCCCGTGGACGACGATGCATGATTCGGTATGACAAAAATCTGAGCTTAAAGTCATATGACACTTCATTAGTAGTGTTGAAATAAGCTTTGAGTCTTTTTGAGAGTTTATATTTTCGTTGTAGTTGTAATAATCATTTGTTCATTACATTTTAAACTCTACAAATTTAATTCTTGTGCAAATCATATTTTAAGCTAGGTGTTTATGAAATTTTACAAGAGTTGCTACTGCACACTCTATGCGGAATGTTTCGAACTTTTATGCTTCATCTAGTATGAATTCAATCTGAATATGCGACAGTTGAGAACAAGGAATTCCTTTTGTAAGTGATTAACATTTCTATTATGACACGCTGGCGAAAATTGGATGCAGGTATGGAATTGTTACCGAAGACCCTTAACTGTTGCTTCATTTAAAGTCTGCTTGAATATTCAAATTTCAATCCTTTGAGATAATTGCAATAATAAAATTAATTCAATCACAAGGTCAGGTAGATATATTAATAACCCACAACTTAATATCAAAAGCTCATTTCTATCACTATGGTTGACAAGCTATTTCAAGCAGCTGGTTCAATCATTTTTTGATTTTAAAAGTTATGTTGTGAAGTCCGCAATGAACTCTTTAAAAGGTCACTATACCTCGACTCATCCTCGTCCATCATAAAACGAGTCGAAAACAACATTAAAAACTGAGAGTTTAAAATAATGTATACAACCACTATCAAAACATATAAAAAAAATTTGGAAAATAAGGTTTAACTCAACTGGAAAGAGCAAAGTCTTTCTAGGTAATTAGAACAAGGTTTGAACCTCCTTTCTAGAGAGAGGTAAAATCTTTTGATCCCATAAAAAAAAAGAAAAATATGTGTAAAAAATATCTCAAAAACTTAATCGTAATTCATTTTCACCATAATATTTGAAGTTAAGGTATGACCAAGTTAGACAATGTTAATTATCAATCACTCTATGGGTACATGGATTTTTTTACAGAAATTGTACCGAATACATACAACACGTGGATCCCATTTTTTTAAACAATATTTAATTCATGTGGGCACTGCCTCCTCATGTGAGAAAAATTCAAAAATCTAGAAAAATTCTGTCACTTCTTCTTTTAATTGGCATCATTTTTCATTAATTATTCCATACAATATTTGTTTATATTTCTCTATACTTCTAAATGATTCGTATACTTGGTTTAAAATTAATTTAAAATATCATAAAAATCATCCAATATTATCACATTTAGAATCAAGTATCAATATACATCAAAACAAAGGACAACCTCGCAAACATAATTTATTTTTAATTATATTGGGACGTGTTTGGTATGAGGATCATATTACTGATCCTTGGTCGGGACAAAATTCACCTCGCCCCACTAATCTCATAAAATAGGGAATCCGTGACAACGCTGGGCTAGACATAGCATTCAATTTTGACATTCCTAATTACCAGTTATTGAGTCTCAACAAATTCAGAATTAGACAAATAAAAGAAGAAGTCCCTAAAAAAAATTTAGAGGAAAAAAAAAAAAGAAAAAGAAAAAAGAAGAAGCTTCTACTGGTGTTGCCGTCTGAGACCTACACTTAACTGCACGGAATCATTCCCCATTATCCTACTTTGGACTAAAAAGTTAGATACATTTTAGATTAGGTTTCTCAATATATACACAAGTTAAAGCAAAGTCATCGTTCGTTCGATCCACACCACCTTCCAGAGATTTTGTTTATGTATTCCTCTTCTTCCGTCACCATAATTCTCCGATTCTTCGCTTAAAGGTTCGTCTTTTTTTAGGATTATGTTTAACGTTGTCACGTTAGTGTAATATGTTGATGATTTCATGTTTACTTTTTAGAGCTAATTCAAGATTCTGATTTCATCAAGTTGCTTTTTTTTTTTCCTAATATTTTTTAGGATTTCGATTTTACTAATATTTTGATGGAGTTTTCATGAGCAGCGAATTAATTTATAATTCCATTGATGAAATTTATAGAGCCCTGAATTTATTTATTCTTTTCTTGTCAATTTTGTTGGTTTTTGTGTTTTACTAATATGTAGATGGGATTTTTCCAAGACATTTAATGGAAATCATAGATAGTTTTATTTTTTAATTAATTTAATTCCATTGGTGGAAATTTATAGCCCAGAAGGGATTTTTTTATATTGATGTTAATGACATGATAGTTTATTCGTTTTTTTTTAAAATAATAATTCAAGAATGTAACTTTTTGCTTTGAGGAGTGATGCAGTTGGAAACTGGGAATGGCAAAGAGTTCATTCAAGCAAGAACATGATCTTGGTTTGTACTTCCTTTTGATGAATTGGATTTTTTATTAGTTTTGCTTCATTCATATCTTATAGGGAAAATATAAGCTGTTACATATATATTTCAGAGAAGAGGCGTGCTGAAGCTGCTAGGATTAGGGAGAAGTACCCTGATCGGATTCCGGTGAGAATTCAGCAGTTTGATTTAACCATCTTATTTCATTTCAAGCTATGTATAAACATTTGGAATATTCAGCAGACCAAAAAAAGTCGGCCACGACTATATGCTAACAGTTACTCATCAGTAGCATTACAAAGTGGAAATTGGACTGACAAGTAAAATGGTTATATTTATTTTGTTGAAATGTAGGTGATTGTTGAGAAGGCAGAAAGAAGTGATATTCCAAATATTGACAAGAAAAAGTACGTATTGACTCTACTATTGGATTTTGGTAAATTTATCATAATATTTATGTGATATTGCTCGTCCGTTACAAAATGTTGGTTCAACATAGCTGAATAGAACATCAACATGCTTTATTAAAAAGGCATAATTATTCATGACTGTCGAAATAACATTTCTTTAGTGGTCTTGGATCATTGCTGACTTTCTTATTCCTTTGATGTAGCTGTGGCACTTGAAAATCTGACTCGTAATCGGTTGTAAGATTTGCAACTTTTGAAGAACTTTTTGGCACCTGATCTGATCAGTTGAAATGTCTTGCTGATATTACCCATGAAAGTTTCATAGACTGCTCTGTTTTGAGCTCCTTTGTGACTACTACATGCAATTTAATTACTCATAATTGAGGCAATTTGATCTTTACACGAAGTCCCTGATTCAGAAGATACATTTAATTTTAGTTGTCGTAAACAGATTGTGAATTAGAAGATCCATATATGTGTTCTTTGAATTTCATCACATTCATGTGCATGGCCTTGTGGAAATAGCGTTATGACTTCCCTGAATTTGAACTTTAAGATTTAATAGGATAGCAGCTTTGTTCAGACATAAAATTCACATAAAAGGAAAGTGTTTGAAAATTACTTCAAGGCGGTATGCTGAGACAAATTTACATAATATCTATATGGATTGACTGCCCCCACTATGTTGTTGCTGGTAAATGGTATTTCTTGGTTTTGATGTTGCAAAAGTAAAACATTCTTTTAATTCTTGGACCTTGCAAGAAAATTTACTCTCCGTAAATGTTGGAGTTTGAACGAATAGAATGTCTCTTTTGCTTGGGGCGAGTTTTTTCTTGTGTTTTCCTTTTTCTTTCATGATTTGGATGGCCAATTTTTGTTTTGATGGTTTTGGTTTTTCGATACTTTACTTGATGGGATGATTCTAACAGGGGGCTTGGACTCCCAACTTTCTCGTATTCAAGATAATAAAAGTTATAGAATTATTTTATTTAGTGTTGAAAAAATTACAGGTATCTTGTCCCAGCTGATTTGACTGTAGGGCAATTTGTTTATGTGATTCGCAAAAGGATCAAACTCAGTGCAGAGAAAGCAATTTTCATATTTGTTGACAATGTTCTGCCACCAACAGGTTCGCTTAATATTTTTTATCGAACGACATAATGTATTTGCATAACGTAGTACTTGGGCCCTCAACCAATTATTCTTGGCATTTGCGTCCCAAACATTTCAATTCTGTGCTAAGTCAGGTGTGGTGCACTGAACTGAAATACTGTTTGCATGGTAAAATTGGTACACGAAAACTCTGATTCTCTCTACTGTGACACATAGAAAAGAGGCTCGCCCTAATACCCTTTATATACGGGAGAATATTTGAGTGGCCTAATACATGTGCTCGTTTTCCAAAATGCCCCTATAACACAAATGTTTTTCCAATGTTGAACCACGGTTGTAGGGAAAAGTGTACAGTATATTATGGCTCCACATCCAACACAGGGTTGGCTACCTCAGATGTAATATTTCCTTTTTGATGCTACTGAAATATGTTACCGACACCTTGCTTTTATGCTCTTTTCAGGTGCTATTTTGTCTGCGATATATGATGAAAAGAAAGATGAAGATGGTTTCCTCTATGTAACCTACAGTGGAGAGAACACATTTGGGAACTTTGTCATACCGTAGCCTTCATATTCTGGGATTTAGTCTGTTCCGCTATAATTTCTGCCATTATATCGTGTTAATAATATTTGTTTCCGTGCCTATCTTATCAAGATATTACTGGTTGAAAGTATATATATATATCGTGCATTTGTATAGTTTTTGAGTCTTGGAAGGTACTGAACAATGTTGTCATCCCTAAGAATATTCACTGTTTTCTATAATTTACTCATGGCATGCTTGGTACACTGCTCATATATTTCTTTTGTTCATCATTCGAGTTTTGTTGAGTATAACATACAAAAGAAGGACTAAAATATTTACTCACGAGTGGGCAAGCTCTACTATTTTGACTTGCGCTGTGTCGTTCCCTATTTATTCTTGATGTTGGTTCCCCTTGATTTGAATTAGCAAGCAACAAAGGCACATTGAGAAAAGAAAACCCTATTGGGCACGAGTCCCAGTACATTAACGAGCACGTCACAACTCATGAGATCATTGGTCTGAGGTTCCGACGTAATCAAGAATGTAATGCTCTAAAACTTGAGAGTTTATATGCTAGTTTGATATTCATTGCTCTATAAACGTGATCATAGAGGTTAAGTTCTTATAAACTCTTATGACTATCACAATTTTGTATAAATAGAACAATATTTCACTACTCTGCACGATTGATCGAATTTGAATATTTGTACATTACATTTCTTCCACATGGTTCATGTATGTATTTCATCAAGCTCCCTCGAATGTATTTTAAGTTTCTCATTTTGAAGATCGACATGTGAAATGCAAATTTTGTTTTGTGGTACTGGGGTAATTCACATTGAGTAGTAATTTTTATTGTGATTGTTAAAAGGGTGTGTTATAAAATCCATTATTATTTATCCTCATATTTTGAAAGAACCACAAATACGACCCATTTATTCATCGTTCATTTTTATGTATCCTACTACAATAAAAAGGCCAGTTTTGGGATCACTGTAGAACCAACAGTAAAGCAATGAGATGTTACTGTTCAATTTTAACTGCTTTTTTGTATATTTTGTTTTTACCTTTATAAAAAAAAAAGAAAAAGAAAACTTCGGTGCGGGAAAACTCCGTGTCCGTGCATCGCGGACACGATGTCTCCGCGCGCGGAGACTTTTTTTTTCCTAATATCCCTACTATATATAAATCTCTTACATTTTTTTCTTTTCCCTTTTCATTACTTTCCATTTTCCTTCTTTATATTATTTTGATTTGAAGTTAAAGTTGAAGATTTAGGATTTTTGTGTCCTTATGTCTTAATTTCTTATACTTATTGTCTTCGTTCTTTTGCGTATTTATTAATTTCTTGATTGACTGAAAATTTTCAAACTTATGGTTATTTGTCTTTCAAGTTCATTTTATCAATAGAAACATACATGCAACTCATTGTCTTGGTATTCATTTTCTATACCTGAAAATTTTCATGCCATCTCATGATTACTGTCTTCAAAGTGCCTGAAAGTGCATCTTCGCGTCTCCTATTCCATATTTAAGTTCAAAATTTACCCTTTAAACTTGTTATGTTTTCTATGAGGTCGAGAATTAGTCTTTGAAGGAAGTTGATACGGAAAANTTGAATTGAAGACGAATTGGGAAATTTAATGGATTGAAAGGGTATTTGAGTCTTTTGATGATAGGGATATTTTGGACCTTTTATACCATTTATTTATTCTATTTTTTAATGGAGGCCATTTTACCAACAAACATTGACAAAATCCTTTTTATCCAAATACATTGTTTGACTAGGCTCTTTAACAAAGAGTCCCTTATAAGAATAAGGCATGTTTTTATGGTTTCTTTTGCGCTTAAGAATTCTGTCTTAGCTAATGGAGATTTTTTATTATTTTTTTTTAAATTTTATTTAGTTCTTTTGATTTTGTGTGCAGTGTAATCATAATGTCGAATGAGAGCAATTTACGACAAAGCATTTTTCAATTTATTGGACCATCATCTGGACATATGTTAAGACATATTTAAAATATTAGGAAAAATGGACATATATATCGCATCTAGATTGGTCAGAGTATGTAAGACATAAAAATATCCAAGTAGGTGATACATGTTTTTGAGCTCCTCAATGAAAATGAAGAAATATCAATGTTTGAAGTGTACAAGATCTATCCTTCAGATGGAAGCTTCATTCCTACGTAAATTATGATATTATGCTCCTAGCTTTTTACTCATACTTACGTTTTTCCTTTTTTTTTTTTTTTGCCATTTTTGCAGGAACACAGATACAGAAATGTCTTTCACAAATTTACTTTTGTGGACATGTATACAATCCCATTGATAAGCGCTTCACAAGTTCTATATTAGTTACACTCCATTTAAATATACCTATTTTCAACCAAATTCTTCTATATTAGTTACACTCCCTTTAAATATACCTAATTTCAATTTTTTTTTCCCTAAATAAATATATTCAATTGTGGATTTTCACATTTCTCTTATATTATTAAGTGAATATCTTCATTTGCAAATTCCAACTTTTGACTTGTGGATTTCATCACAATTTCGAGATGATAAATCTGATGGAATTTTTTATCTATGTTTTACCAACCAGTATTATCATTCTCACCTTATACATAAGTTACATAAATAACTAACTACAATATGCTAATCAATTGAGTAATTAACTTTTTATTCAAAATTTTAAAACGTATACTTGAATTTTCAGAATTTTCTACAAAAAACTACAATTTCTATGCTAATAAAAACAAAACAAATACAAATTTCGTGCAACGCATGTAAAACCGACTAGTTTATAATATAAATCGCTTATAAGTACTTTTCAAACATGCCCTATATATTATAATGTTCCAGAGTCCATTCCTGTATTGGGCAAATTTTGTTCTACGTCGATAAACTTTTAGTAAAATTTCAATGAGGTCACTAAATTTCAATTGAGTTATTGAACGTCAATTTATTTTTAAACAGGCAAACAACTTCAATTTTGTTTTAAATAAGTCCAATTTTAGTATTAAACTTCATGACTTTGCAACCGATCATCTCCCAAATTGATGAAAATTGCTTAATTTATAATCATACTGCAATGACTTCTCCACGTTATTGTCACGTGACATGTCAACTTACCCTTAAGCAGCATCATAAAAGTGTTAAGATAATAAATAAATAAAATCCACCTTTCAACCTTTTAATTTGACCACATTTTCATTACCTCATTTTATAATTTTATAAGGGTAATTATATTACCACTACATAATTTATTTAGTACACCACATTATATTCACACCACAATTAAAGTAAATTTTCAATAAATACACCACAACAAATTTAAAATTATACTCCTAATCCATTAAAAACTAAAAATGAAAAAGAAAATATAATATTGTGGTTTACTTATCATTCCAATATTTCTACTTATTTTTCTCATCTCTCCACCCATTTTGAATTTTTTGTCATTTTCCTTTAGTCATCAAAATTGATGATGTTTGTACTTGAGATATGATGAAGAACAAGTGAAACATGGTACTAGATTAGTAAGGAGGTCATTTTTCATTTTTATCAATCTTTCTTTTGATATTTATATAGAAGGGCTATTGAAAACGATAATGAATCACAATCTTCCCCTCATTACTAAAGGATAATACACAATCAGAGGTAGTAAAAATAATATGGAAGGAACAATATGTTGGATTTGCTATTATGGGTTCGAAATCCACAGGTCCAGCCATATTGGCTTTCTCCATTACTTTTGTGGTGGTATTTCTTTTGTGTGATAGAAATTAACTATGATAATGGTTACTTTGTTTCAGGTCCAAAGAATGCTGGTTTTGTTTGTCAAGTCCCAATCGGAGTCTCATCTAATCACTACCATAGAAGAAAGGACCATTAGTACAAGATCATATGCTGATAATACCTGTTGAACATTCACCAAACACACCTTGTCTACCATCAGAATGTGAACAGGAATTATCTCATCTTCCTAAATTCCTTTAATCATCAAAAGAATAATTACTGACAGAAATGATGCATGTGCTACTTGGCAGCATCCGTATATTCTATTTTCTGTGTTTGGTTGGTTAAAAACCAATGAAAAATTGTCAAGTATTTTTCCGTCAATTTTTTTTGTACTCATAGCAAAACTGTCATCAAAATTGATTATGTCCACGTGATTGATGCACAACATATGTTTTTTTGTTTCACCATTGATTGAGATACAACAATATGATTAAGACCATAATCTGCTTCCATAGGATCAACATTAGAATTTCAACAACACCGTTGAAGGAAATTGGATTGCCTAGGATTAATTAGTGTAAAGAAAGTTTAACACCAGAATTTCAAAAAAATAAAAAACATCTCCATTGACAACACCATATTTTCTGTTATTGCCGGAATTAGGGTTCCAAAGATGGTAATTTGAATTGGCAAATTTTATGATTGTGGTAGAAGAATAAATTGTTTGATGTGATAAATAAATATCAAAACTCCATTTATGTAATTTTACTTAAAGCTATTTAAGTAAATAAAAAAAAATTATTAAAATTGTGGTGTAACTAACAAAATTTGTAGTGGTAATATAATCCCCATTTTATAACTGTTAGCTAAGAAATTTCTTTGAATTTAAGAGACAATTAGTGATGGAATGAATCCGAGAGTAATGAAATTTGATACTATACTGAATTTTAGTGATTCAGTTGAGGTGAATTAAAGTTTAAAATATCATTTAGGATTCTACTTAAGTTCAAAGAGTAGATGAAATTTAATGAATCTTATCCTAACTAGTGGAAATGAAATGCAAATATATATTGCTTATTTGAAAGCTAAAATTGGTGCAAATATTATAAGTAGCCAAAAGACAACAAAAGAAACAACGAAAAAGAGTAATACTATTTAGTCCTGTTGGGGTTATAATCTCAACGTTAATGTGATATTAAATGATATGTGAAATTAAATAAATCATTTAATTCCACATTTCGTTTAGCCTATCATCTATCGTTATCTAGACTGGTAATGAAACTCTAGTGGGAGATACATACCATTACTCAATGAAAAAACACAAGGACGAGATTTTGTGGGGGTGGGAGTGGCCGGGCTCCACTTATGCTTCCTTGTCCTACGTGGCAATGTGTTTTCACATGCATTAACTGCCACGTGGCAGTCAAGCAGTAACGTTTTCGTGTGTCCTGTCGTGGTGGTGCAAATGGCGGTTTGGCCATGTAAGGTTGTCTCCTTTGGGTTCCCTATTTCCCATTCCCATTTTGCCCCACCATGTTTCAATCCTACCCTTTAATTTATTATTCGAAATATAAAAGCAAAATTGTTGCCATGAATATATTTTGGAAAAGAATTTGGACAAAAATGTTTATGTGAAGCTAATTCATGTCATATTATTGAAAATAGAGTTAGGGAGTAGATAAAAAAGGTCTTCTTTTATAATTTTGATTTTTGATATCCATTTCTTCATCCTCTAATAAACTTTTATGTTGTAGAATTTCAAAGTTTTGTATCAATTATTACTGCTCTCATTTTATACGTATGGTACATATTTTATATTCATTTCATCATGCGTATTTTATTTTAGTTAAGAGATAAATCTCACATCAATTATAGCCAGGAACGAATCCATGATCGAATTACAGGTCGGGCTAAAATGTCAATTATGAAACTGGCATTTCGAATTTTTGTGACTCTAAAGAAAGGTTGTAGTTCTTGGGACGGAATGCCTTACAATCTATAAATAAGATTAGTGTTTTCTAGTTTGAGATATATGAAAATATAAAATTCTCCTTCATCTTCTTCCTTAATATTATTTTGCTACTTATTTTGAGCATTCACTAACTTGATATTACGATACCATTTCTTTCAATATGAAAGCCTTTGAGAGGGTTCATTCACCATCTCAGAATTAAATATATGCATTCAAGAAAATGAGAAGAAACACATCAAATATCAGTTGTACAGAGAAAAGTATTTCATGAGATCATCTGAAAGTGTTTAGATACGCGATTATGTGTTGGAATTTTACATATGGACTAACACAATTATAATCAATCCACTCAAGACATATAACTATGCTATGTTATGACCACTATATAGTTCAGTAATATACATATTTTGTATTCCTCAATGAGCCATAATGAGGTAGACTTAATTTACTATATTATATGAGACATATGGGTTCACGTTCCTTGTCATATTATTTTACTCAGTCTATCTAATTGAATAACTCTCTATTATTGTGGACATTAGCTGAATAGACTTCGGATACTATGTGTTATAGTTTATATAACATATTGTTGAGTCGTGATACAATCTATTCTGTATTTGCAAAAAAAAAAAAAAAAACCTATTGCGAATTGAGAGGGGAATAAAGGTGATCTCATCATGCTAATCACATAATGCAATTTGTTCTTTGTCTCTTAAGATCTTTGTGCATTTGTAATCATTGTCAAATAAAGTAAATGCGATGATAACTGTTAGTTCGAACTTCATGATATGCATGTTCTTAGCAGCAGTTTTGATTTGTAATTAATTATGAATATTAACTAACGTATTAAAACAGGAACACCAAATATAACGTTGTAAACTCCAAAGGAAAATATCCACCGCCCACATGACATGGATCAAACAATTTACTAAATCAAATGATAAAAAATACAACACATTCAGTTTTGCAATTTCACAAAATTAACATATAACAATCAAAAGAAATCTAAGAAAAACTCTCTTGTTTTCTTCTTCTCTTGACAAACCTCCCGATCTTGATGTTATCACCGCTTCATTGTTGTACTCGATCGTAATCTTGGATTAAGAATCACTATTCTTAACTCCAAGCAACTTGATCTTCAAATTGGATTGAACACACGCTGGTTTGTTTTCTTCAAATACGGTTGAAGAACAATGTTTTGCTTTGAATATTATAATCAATGAAATTTGGAGTCCATTCAACCTTGCATGATTTCAACAGTCCTTTGCACAACACGTATCGAACGGGTATGAGAGTTTTTTAAAGCAATTGAATTCGTCCCTTGATTTCCTGCTTTACATATGTAAAGTAATTTCCAAGACACGAATTAAACTTACCTAAAAATCAACAATTAATTAGATAATAGAATCATACAAGATTTATTTGATAAGGTAATAAATAAACTTAAAAGAAAATTTAATATTTAAACCAATATTTCCTTAACTTTAATTATTTAATCTATCAAATAATATATAGTATGGTAGGTAAATAAATCCGTCTTAGATGTAATCTGTGTTAGTACTAACCTGCTTGGACCGTATCCTGATTTTTCACGCATTTCGCGATAGTCATTGACAATTAAAAATCAATCTATATTAAGTAAACCAATAGAATTAATATGTAAAAATATATAAGACATATCTCTCCAACAGATAAAATGTAATATTACTGTTGAATATGAGTTGTCAGTTTAACAATTTATTCTCTATAACAAAGTTTAATGATTCATCAGTTATGGATATCACGAGTTCAGGTACAAACTATGGTAAATATAAAAGTATAAAGAATATTAGTTACCCATTAAAACTATGATTCGCCGGTCAAACAATGAAGAAAACACAAATTGTCAAGAGGCATGGCTGTGACTCCGTGCTATTAAAGAATGAGGCTGTGACTCATAGGCAGTAGCAAAAGAGAGCTTTTTAATGAATGGTTGCCTTGGACTGAAGATCTAAAGGCTTATGCCATGTATCAAGCAATTAAGGGTTCCCAATTTCCATTACATACTATCAATTCTAGAAACTCTGTGAAGAGAAGATTGACAAGCACAACAAGTAGAAACAAGCCATGCCACTGCCAGTGGTAAAATCAGGCACACAGACATGGAGTGGAGGACTCGTGCTCATACACATGGGCACAGTAGTTTGTTTGTTTGTTTTTATTTTTTTTGCTCAGAAAATAGTTAAATCTCTCTCTCACATACGTGATAATGACTACATATTTTTCCTTACAAGTCCATTTGTTCAGGGACTATTCCGTGCATCATTACCATTTCATACGGTACATTGGTGTTGGACCTCAATGTGGTTTTCTTTAAGCTCCCAACGTGGCTAGTATATACATAATGGTTCACGAAATAGCCCTTGAGTGAAGGGGCTTGTAGAGAACAGTACATAGTAGTTACGCCGGGGGGGGGGGGGGGGGGGNGGGGGGGGGGGGGGGGGCGCATTAATTGTTTTGTTTGATGGGGGTCCAGTCTTGATTAAAAAGCGGACATGGGTGGCCTCCAATATCTTCAGTTTTGTTTTCAAGGGTTCAGCACCAGGCACCTGCATGTTCTCTCTAAACCAAATTCATCTATTACAATACCAGCATTTAATGCCTCATTCCCCCCTTCTCACTACATATATGCATCAAAATCCTTTTCTCACAAACTCACAATCCCACCTTACTCTTATTCTCTGAATCACAAGATAATTAATCTCTCAACTACTATGTCTTCTCTTGTTTATATTTTTCTCTATCTTTATTATTTGCATGCATGCACTGGTCGACCACTTGCAGTTTTCGATCAAGAAAATAGCAGTCAAATTCAGCTTTCTGGAAAGGTTAGTTTTACATGTTGCGTATTACATTTTTGTACTTAAGGTTGTTGTAGATAAGAATTAGTATGTGCACCACGATGTCCCAACTAGGTCGCACCTCTTTAGGACCATCGGTAAAAAAAGTAGAGTAAAAGATGAACAAAACCCACAATTAAGCCTACTGTATGTATCGGATGAATAAACATGAAACTAAAACTCAGAGCTACCCACCACCAAGTAGAGAGGGATGCTAGGAGCTCTGTACGCCTGTGCATCCATATGTCATATATACATAGATAAAAAGTTACAAAAGTTATAATATATAGTACTCTAATTACGATACTTCATTCTACAGGATGTGAAGACTCCAGGGGCTGAGAAATTTGTGATGCAAGGCAATTTCAGGGCTGAATATGGTGAAAAGACTTTTTATGATGCACATGCTATGAAGCTAAATAATCAGAAGGCATACATATTTAAGGAAGGTGAAGACATCAAAGGTTGCTAACAAGATACTCTTTTCATTTATATTTCATATTTTCTTTTTTCCTTTTCTCTGGTGCTAGCCTATAATTGTGTGTGTGAATATACAAGATAATTGGTTAAATAAGAATGGGGTGATCTCTATAATCAGTTTGCAGGCATTCACCATGAAGTGGCCAATAATGGTGCAAGGAAAATCGTGTTTAAGACAAAATTCAAATAAATAAATGTGTGTCCCATATAATTAGTCAACATTCAAAATATGATATGAGAGTGGGAAAAAATCCTGAGTTCAAGTTGGGTTGTCGAAAATTTATGAAAATTATGTACGGATCATGTCTTTCATAAAATTGAATATGCCGCCCCACAATAAGCGGACAGATCAAAGTGTCTAATAATAATTAAAACAAAAGGGCATAAAGAGTAAAAGAGAAATTGCAAAACCAAACAAAACTTCACCAAAAAACTGTCTAGTAGTTAGATATAACAAGGTATGGAGTTCATTACACTAATATATGCTAGCCACTTTGTATATTGATACTGGAATTAATATATGTTTCTCTAAACTAATATACGAGTTTCTCGGCAGTCTCTATACTTCAAACTAGGGGTTTTTTTTCCCTTCTTCGGGACAAATTAATTGTTTTTGAATTATTATTATTATTATTATTATTATTATTATTGGACTCTAGCCTAGCTAGTTGATGATTTGCTATCGTTATTTTTCCTTCAATAATTCGTTTTGCTTAATACCCCCTTTTTTTTTTCCTACTACAGGTAACGAAGTCAAGATATCATATTTTGGGAAGATTTTTGAGGGCACTGCTGAAAAAATGGTACATCCTTCAAACTCTTTGGCTAATACATGCTTTGTAGTAGGGAAGACAATAGAGCGGGGAGGTTTCAGGCAATGTTTACTAAAAATAAACCTTAATTAGTAAAGAAAATTAGGCATAGGAGTGATAGGAAGGTCACTTTTAGATCTCATGTGACCTCGTTATGCTCCTCATCATTATAAATTGAGTAAGGTACTTTGTGGGGTTATTACACTTAAATATTATGTATTTGCAGGAACGAAAGAGAGAAGCGCGGTCCACATTGGAATCTCTCTCAAAGAAAGCCAATAAAAATGCGATATCAAAGGAAAGTGACAATATAGAGGACATAGTGGTGATGGATTACGCACAACCACACCGTAAACCACCTATTCATAACAAAGAACCCTAGATTAATGATGTTAAACCTTAATTTCTCCACCGTTTGGGATTTTGTGTAAGACTTCGAATCTTTTATTTTTCTTGATAAATTAAATCGTAATAAAGGAGGATCTCAGCTGAGCAAGCTAGAGAGATTTGACATTAGATATAATAATTGATCAAGAATTTGACTTTTATTAAGTCGTATAAGGAAAAAAAAAGTGCTTATAGAATTATAGAAATGCCTGTGGAAATATCTATTCCAGCAATTATGTTATTGTGTTTCTTCAATGCCTATAACAAGTTGCAGCTGCTATGAATGTGATAAATTGGTGGAGGATCGATGGTCCCTACTTATATGTATGGTATGTTTTTTCGTGTAATAAATGTTTTGTGAATGAAGAAATATACAAATGTGATGTTTGGCCGTAGACATAAATGATGTTTAATTCATTTCTTTGTATTGCAGAGACACTTGTGCTTTTAGTTTCTTGCACTTTCAGTTAATCGTCCCAACTACACCGAGCATCGACTATACAAAATAACCTGCCAAAAGTATCTTATTAAGTTAATGTGATAAAGATACAAAGCACAATATACTACCAGCCACACTTAGATAATAATCGACTGCCCAAGATTTCTGAATATGCTTGCATTTTAGGTACCAACTCGCGCTCGTAAATTTTGAAGAACTGTACCAAGATACTTTATTCGCACTCTACATTTTTCTCAAATACGCACATTCAATCTCTATGTACTCTCTCATGATAAGGATTAACATGAGTGAGCAACAAATGTGTTCAATCATCAATCAGATCACCAGTCAGTCTTTGAGCATTTGACTATGTAGGATCAGTTTAACAACCATTGGTTAGACAATCAGATGGAAATTATGAATTTTGACGGGGCGACTTTCTGCATGTTTTTTACATTCAAATTCCCTTTTTCTGTTAAAAATTCTTCATTATTTGGTTATTTCAAAGCAAAATAAGATAGAAAATAATAAAATTATCCTCTCAAGAAACTGATGCCATTTTCTGTGTGAAGAAAGAGATTAGCAGTACAAATGATCAACAAAGTGCACCTCATAGTAGAGACAGAAATTAGCCACAGTTACAGGACAAACATTTTGGGATGGTGGCAAAACCAACAGCTGGCATAATGAATGGCAGAATTAAATTGGTAAGAGAGTGACGTGAGAAAACAACACACACCAAATGTTCCAATTGCACATCTAAAAGGAGGACTGGGGGGCCTCTATGCATGCCTCTGGTGCAACCAGCTGTTGACTGAGAGAAGAGATAGAAATAGCAGTCAACATACACAATCAAATCTCAGGGACCCTATTTGCATAAGCTACACAGTGGCTGAGGGGAACAAGCTGGTTTTACTGCCTGAATAACGTTGATCGCAAGCTCTAAATCATTTTGGCATGCTCTTACCAACATAAGAATGCTTTTTAGAGGCTTTCTTTAAGCTCTTAATTAGTAATTTTTGCTTCTAATCTAACTGATATGCCTCTCTTTGATTTAGTTACTAACAGCCAGTAACATTACAGAACAGAATGCCAGAATTAATTAAGACCACATAATCACATTATTTTCCTGAAAATATGTAGAAGACATATTCCAGTAGGCTTCCAGGACATGGAATATATATTACCGGAGTGTCAGATTTCATGTTACTCCATTGTGCTCATAACCAGTCAACTTTAATGAGGTTTCCTCTGGTGCAAGCCCCACTGCAAAAAAATTGGAGAAGTTTTAACTATGACTAAGGAGCATATGATGGGGACGGGAAAAATAAGTAGAACTCAGATAAGATTATTATTATCAATAAGAAATTTAATTCATGAGAATTCAAACATAGACTGGCAAATGATTTAGTGTGCATGTCTCAGATCAAAGTAGGGGCATATAAACAAAGCAACCAAAAATTTTCTGCTCCCTACGACAAGTGAATAGGACAACAATAAACTAAGCTTGTGTTTGGTTCATGTTTATAAACTGTTTGACATTCAAGTCACTTTTTATCTACAAATTTTGAGTGAATCCTTTTCACCACTCCATTTATCCATCGTTCATATACCAAAAGAACCTATGAAACCAAACCTTTGGCAACCACATTGGGCCAGATTATATTCAGTGTAATACTAGAATGTATAGCTCTTGTAACAAATGGTCGTTTTATTGGGTTTATGCAAGACATGCCCTAACCACCAAAAATCTTCCTCCATTAATTTATCCTAAATTAGTGTCAACTCCACTTGTCGATGTATAATTCATTCCAATGTTTTAATGTCGCAAACAAGTAGTTAGTTTATCATAATCAAAGTAAATAAGAATGGAGCTTTCTTTGATGACCTAAGATCTAAATGTAGAAAGAATAAAAAGTTGCAGATTTTTTTTTTATACCTAGAATCCTAATTACTAATTAAGAAGTCTCTATCAACTCTATAAGTAAGATAACAAGTAATTACCCTATGCTTTCTTAATTAAAAACTCGGAACAATCTTTTACTAAAAGGATTGAGCCGAGGATTGGGCCAAATACAACATCACTAATGGAATCCAAATAATCACTTTATTATCAATTTTAGTTTCAATTTTCTTTTGTTTAAGTTTATAACGTATAAAATCATAAATATCCTACAGTTTCAAGGACCTCAAGGATGGTGAGTAAATTGGAGAGAATTTCAGATAGATATGAACCCAATTTGGTGATTGTTGCGGAAGCTCGCTCCAAGATCTTCGAATCAGTGATTTTCGGGTTTAGTTTCATGTTACTTTTCTCTACCAAACAATTAATCCAAACGGTTCTGACCACAACCAATATATTCACATAGATTGCTTCTCAATCTCATCACAAAGAACAAGATATTGGTATTGACTTGCAGCCACAAAGACAAGAAGAAAACTAATGGAAGAAGACACAAAGAAGAGATCGAAATGCAAAGGCAACCACCCAGTTTTTACTCAAGCAAAGCCAACATTTTTCTCTTCTTTTTCTAGCAGCCACGTTTTCTCTCTAAACATGGTTCCAGTACTAAGAAAGGAGGCTATATATAGTTCTAGGTTAGGTTACCTTACCAATTTGGGCCAAAAAGAGAGTTAAATGGGCTAACAATCAAGAGCCATCCAATAGTTAAATATATGTACAATAAGCAACATTAATTCCTTAAGTTACTTCTAACGATCCATGTTGTTTTCGGGTCTAGCCTTTAAACTTGGTTGTTGTTAATCAATTCACATGTCGGTCGAGACCAATGAAAATATAATCCAGCGTTTTACAACATCTTCTAGGATTGATTTTGTATCAAAACCCAACAATGATCCAAATGTACGCCTACAGATTCCTCCATTTCTAATCCCTTTACTGACATTAAGGTTAGTTTTCTTTTAACTGTTTTTTTTTTATATTTCTATATTAAGAGTTAATATGTTTAGACATAATAAAATGAGTAATACTATTTATCGTCATGATGGAACGTCGGTGATATGACAATCAATCATTCATCATATTTTTGTCTCTCTCTCCTTCCCGTCTCTCATAAAGATTGAACTGCTCAATCCCAGGTTAATTTGACCTTTGAAGTGCAAATGGTTATCGGACATTTTTCTTAGTCAGCGACCTTTGCATCATAACAGCATCTTAAGTGTGCAAACAAAGTTCATGTGAATGGGGAGGTGACTGGAGTCTTGTTGACCACATGATCGATGGATTTTGAGGTCAACATATATTATACTGCCATGGATATTTCCATATAGAAAATCTTAAGGGAATTTAAAAGCACACTCGATCAGGAATTTGAACTAGACATAGTTGATAGGTCGCTACCAAAAAAGGCTCCGATTCAAACACAACCCAGAGTATGTCTGAGGATCTTTACTTATCTTATTACTAGGAAGAATTATACTAATGATCACGTTTACTTAATACCTTTTGCATTTTATGTGCAAACAATCATTGGTGTTACTGTTTTAAGTTTTCTTTTAGTTTGACGCTTCAGCAACTTCTTGATGATAAAAATCAAATCAACAAAATTTTCTCACCTAGCCAAGATTTTTGCCATCTAAACTAACTGGTTTTGATACTCAAATAAAAGTAAGAGGAGAAATGGCTATTTAGGATGGAGGTATTTGAATTTGCATGGTTTTCTCCTCTTGGGCGGGAGTATTTGTAGATTTCCTTCGAGGCTTAGGGGTTAGTTGGGTCATTTAAGAGAAGTAAAAGATGGCGGTCTTTAATTGGTTGAGTGCCAGTTCTAAGCTTCTTAAAGAGATAGAAGATTGTACATGAGAGGAAAACTACAAATATCCACAAGGAAGTTGTGGATGGTTCGTACGAAGTGATAAGATTGAAAGGCGACACATCATGGTCAATCGGGTGCTCAGTGGCTAGCCTAGCTCGGACAATACTGAGTTACCAAAGACAGATACACCCCGTCTCAGTCCTTGCGAAGGGATTATATGATATTGAAGGAGGTGATATGTTTCCAAGCTTGCCAGAACAGCTCTGTAGGAGTGGCATCTTGGGTATGACCGATGTGCATCTTATGGGCGAGGAAGTACAACGGCTGAAGACTTCAGTGAAGCTGATTTTGGAGTTGCTAAGTGAGTTGGCAATTTGAAGAAGAAATTGAATAGAAGACTACTTTGTTTGAGTTGTAATATTGAGTATATTTTGCACTTGGTCAAGTTAGTATCTATTTTATTTAATTGTTTCCATGTACTGTAAAATACAAAAATTTGTTGATGAGAACGCTTTGTGCAGCATTACAATTCAAATCAAGGGAAAAAAAAAAGAAGGAAAAAACTAAGTTTCACCTCCCTAAATATTTCATCATGGCAGGCTTAGCTTTTGGTGTGTTCTTTAAGGTTGTGGTTGGAATATAGCTTGCCCTCTCGGTGGTGGCCTTCGGTTTATATTAGATAACTCAAAGTGGTCGTGTTGCTGATGTGGGCTGTCTGGCGTGCCAAGTGCATCTCCATGCACATCCATTCCTACGTATTGTTGCACTACAAGAACTGAATACATTGATGCAAAATCCGATGATGCTAACAAATCTCCAATTGCACCAAGCTCGGGACACTCACTCCAGTCCATAAGCCCGGCTGTGAGAGGAGATGTCATTCCCTGTCCTCTACCTACTATGAAAAGGTCATGAATGGGATCTATTGATCTGATTGCTGCTACAGTCTCTTCTCCATGATTCACCACCTTCTCGGTGTAAACTATGGAACCATCATTCACAGTTCTTGCTCGGAACTCGTTGATGAAGTCCTCGTCTAACTGTTTGTCTCTATCGGTATCTGTTACCACTGTCAATATTTCACGCCCACTTTGGGTATGATCGAACGCTTGTTCACCTGGGACAAAGCGCATGACAGTGAGATTGATTCCCGGATGCTCGCACATCCTCCAGGCATATGCTAATGCTTCTCTATCATCCTGGCCGCCAAAGAAAATTACAACTATGTGGTGGTTGATTTGATTTGCAGTCAATCTTGTTGATCCACTGAGGCCTCTATCAACAAGAATGCCGACTGAACAAGGTGCATTAGCTAATACATTCTGGTTAATTGTTCGAAAAGCTGGATTAGTCGATTCCATTCCTCCATCAACAGTTTGTTGTTTGTGAAAAGGAATGATAATGAAGGAAACACGTTTATCCTCTGCCACATTGCAAATGTCTTCATGCATAGTTGAATAAGGGGATATGGCAGTGAGGGGTTGAACTGATACACACCCCATGTGCTGCTCGAAATTCTCAAATGCATTAATGATATGATCTGATTGTGCTTGAGTCCGGTTAAGTGCCGGCCGGCCTGATTTCCGTGTGTTGTGGACAATAAGCATGGCAGAAGCACGCCCTGTGAGTTCAACAAGGTGGAGTGCATATATACAAATTGGAGATTTTTTCGTCGGATGGGAAGCTTCTAGGAGATTGATGATTGTTGGAACATTTCTCGGTGTGTGAATGCAAGCAAGTACCCGAAACTCTCCATCGGGTTTCGATCTTTGGATTGTTCTTCTTTTATAACGCGCAGTTTTCCTTGCCGGCTTGTATATACTCGTCACAATTGGTGCGATAATTGCCGTCATAATTACTGCTACTGTTACCATTATCGCGAAAGATTTATCATCAAGAACCTAGAATCCATTGGATTAGTGTAAGAAAGTAATAAAATCAATTATTTGAATAATCAGAGACTAAAATAAGTACCTTTTGGTCTTTTCCAACATTAAGGACAATCATCTCAACAAGGCCTTTAGTGTTCATGAGCAAACCAAGTGTAACACCTTCGTTAAATGGCATTTTGTAGTAGAGAGAGACAAGTAGAGTTCCTGCAACTTTGCCAACACAAGCCAGAACAATCACGAGCGCTAGAATGGCCCAAGTGCCAATTCCAGTTATTGTAGCAATGTTCGTCTTGAGGCCGCTAATGGCGAAGAAAAGCGGTAGAAGAAGCCCTGAAACAAAGTCTTCGAGTCTTTCTATAAGGGTTATACCAATTGGCCCATTTGGAATAATTAAGCCAAAAACAAAAGCTCCAAAAACAGAATGTGTTCCGATAGCATCTGTTATAAAACCAGATATCATAACCCCAGTAAGAATTAGACATATACTGAATTCGCTAACAGATTCGCCTTCCGGGATTCGTCTTATCATCCATGATATTAGAGGCCTAATTATATATACACAAAAAGCAACAAAGGCTACACTTGACATAATCACCCAAATTGAAGCCAAGGACTTCACATCATTCTCAGCCAATGCAATGGCAAAAGCTAATAGAATCCATGCACACATGTCATTAATAAGTGCCGAAGACATGGCAATTCTTCCAATCTCCGTGTTAAGAAGTTTTAGCTCTGCTAGGATTCGTGCAAGCACTGGAAAAGCAGTAACAGAAAGTGCTACTCCAAGGAAAAGTATAAAAGTTCCGAGTTTTACAAGCTGTGCTTCTTTATGCAACATGAAGGCAAACGAAACGCCTATCAAAAAGGGCAATATCATACCGGCAATTGCCATAGCCAAGGCCCTTTTGCCCGTGCGCCGAATAACAGCAATGTCCATTTCTACTCCAACTAGAAAGAGGAAATAAAGAAGCCCTACATTGGCCATTGTCTCAAGTACCATTACACTTCTAAGAGGAAATACCATGTTTGCGAATTTGGCACTTCGTCCTAGCACGGATGGCCCCAAGATTACACCACCCTGATACAATTTTGATGAATCAGTGAATTACAGATGAAATACACTTTCATTTTAATTTTGTCCTGCTGATAGCATAATTCCAATGGGATAGATGGTTACGCATGCTTGAAATTTTATAATTTTCGTCAATTATATCCATCACGTGCAGGTCGAAAAATGATAAACAGAAACAAAAACCCGAAAAAAGTAACAAAAGAAAATCTAGAAGAAATAATCCGTGAATGATGTAAACTTACAAGGATCTCAGAAATGACACGAGGCTGGCGAAAAGGTTTGAGGAGAAAAACAAGAATTCTCGTCGTAACAACAACTAATGTCAATTGCAAAATGAAAAGTGGCAAAGAATAATCCAATGGATTATCACCCTGCCAGATCCCATTCGTCGTTATCATAGTCGGGGCGTAACATACTATTGTATCATCCGTTGCGTTCCCTGCCCCAGCCGTCTCGTCCATTTTCCCCTTTCTTTTAAATAATTCCCTGCACAATGTCTTAAAGGAACTGTATTCTTTTTCTTGTTATTTCACAAAATGTTATACTATTGTACATTGTATCACCTGGACAGATCCCATTATGTCTATGGAGATTTAACGTTGAAAATCGAAGGTTTTTTTTTGGCTGGAAGGTGAAGAAAAAAGAAAAAGAGAAGTTGTTTATGGAGTATATTGAATTCAGTAATCTTATTGGTGAAACTGCAAATGAGATTGCGTGGTTGTAAAAAAATCCTATTCTTTCGGAGAAATGAGGGATGTATATGTCTTCTATGTTTATAGATTACCACAAGAAATTAAGGCCTATTTTTTTTTTTTTTTGGAAAGAATAAACTCATTTAAGACTCCTAAATTCAATTAAAACAAAAAAAAAAAAAAAGGAGTGATGAACGACGGTTCAGCAGCTAAGGCTTAAAACCTCTGTTTTATTCATTTGATTTCTGTGTATAGTAAATTGGAGGTATCTCAATTAGAAAAAAATAATGTTGTAGAGATGCATCACCATTTATGTGACAATGTCCTTGGTTGTCTGATTGAATTGTGATGTACTTGAATACATTGGACCTATTGTTACCTAATCGGTGATGCGTTTGCATCTCTACTAATGATAGATTTAAAAAAAAAAAATTGTACTCATAATAATTATGTTTATTCATATATAAAGTTAACTCCATCTACATTTTTCCTGTAATTGGTACTAAGCCCCAAAAAAGGATTTAACCTGTATTTAATGTTTGATTAATTTTCTTCTATTTAATTAAAAAATCTAAAAGCTCTTGGGTTGAGCGACTCGGTTCGACTCATTGTCACCACCAAGTACACGAGTAAGAGGAAGAAAGTAGAAAATTGTTTTCTCTAAAACGATTTTTCTACATTGATTTTCTTAAATTTCAACAGAGAAGTGGTGTTAGGTCCTCATTATATTTAGAGATATGTTGACGTAAATTCTTCGACCATAATGAAATCCTTCTGTTCTTGTTAGTAATATTGGATTTTTATCTTTTAGTATGCTTCACTCAAAGTTCACTCATGAGAATTTATTTTAGGTAATGGTACTCCTTTACAATGATAGAGATACTTGTATGATTGAAAGTATATTAGTTGTTGTACAAACTATCGAATATCGATACTTGTCCATAAATATACAAGTTCTTTATAAGTTTATAGGTATTTTCTTAACCACAATTATGGAGGTTCAACAAACTTTTATTACTTTTATTCTTAACCGCAGATGCGTTGGTCTTTTCATTAATTTGTTGGATGATATCTCGGATCAACACTAAATTCCATCTATAATAGAACTTGACGTAGGTTTTGCAACTCTTCTTTCAAATCAAAAAATGATTAACCTCTCCTAAAAAATATGTAAAAAATAATAATAATTAAGCGATTTCCTTGGAATAAATTATTAAAGTCAAGTCATAATATTAATTAAAATTCCCGTGTACTGATGAGATGAGATGTGTTACTACTTCTTGAATTTTCTTAATTACAAAGCATTACCACCTCACAATCATTAATTTTTTTTCTTACTACTTTAGAATTAGAGTTATGCTGCCAGAATCCCTAATGTAAACCCTCTTTCCCCTTATAAATACTACTCCTTGCAGCAGTAGTTACACAATATTGTCAAGAATTTGAAGAAATGGCTTCAAAGAGCGATACTTCTACTACTCTCCTTGTTCTAGTCAACCTTCCCTTCTTTTCCCTTGTTAGTGCATGTGACACTTGCAACTCTAGCCCAAAACCAAAGCCAAAGCCAGAAAATAACTCTGGCGATGACACTTGCTGTCCCGACATCCAAGAACTAGGCTTATGCACAGATATGCTTCGTCGGTTATTTGGTGTTATCATTGGTACTCCAGTAGCTCCATGCTGCATCCTTGTTAGAGGCCTTGCAGACCTTGAGGCTGCAATTTGCCTTTGCGACACTGTCAACATTTTGGGTCTTAGCCTCCATGTTCCTCTTCCCCTCTGGTTGCTTCTCAATGCCTGCTCAAAGAAGGCTCCACTGTCTCTGAAACAGCCTAATTTGTTGCTGTTGATGGACTTTTGCTATTTAAGATTGCATTTTTTAAAGTGGTTGTAACTTTCATTCCATATGTCCATTTATTTTTTAATGCGTGCGTGCGTGCGTGTGTGCATTGCATTTTATTATTTTTTAAAACCTCCATTAATTATATGACAAGCTCGAAGAACAAAAAGGGGGCATATAGACTTGCGGGTTGAAGGGTATATTGCAAGTGAAGACTCCATTTTGTGGGAAACCTTGAAGCTACGGGGAAAACATCTAGTAGAAAGACCTAATCTGGAGTGAAATAAATAGTAATACCACGACTGTGGTCTTTTTCGATAATCATCATACAATAAATCAACAAAGTTCAAAGTGATGTCTCTTTCCCCTTCAATTTTACCTACACGTAGAAGGTGAATATGATATCAACCGAACATATTATCTAGTACACGTAATTGTATCAGTCTTCTAGTTCAAACCCGAGCCATAGTCCATGTTTTTCTCATCTAGTTCATTTCCTAGTACTCACGATTTGTGGGTATTACTTGAGCAACCACAGATACCCACATCTCAAGAACCTAATCTAGAAGGGTTACAGCAGAGAGTGAGAGATATTGATTTCTCTAATTGTTGCCTCGATGTGTAAACATTAGCCTACATACATCTAGCTAGCAACTGCAATCCAACTCTGATTTAGGCCTTATACGTTATGAGCAAAAAATTAAACTGGATTAAATATGACCATGAGGCGTAAAGAAACACTATCTTTTGAGGTGAAATTTACCTTTAGTATAAAGTTTGTTGAAAGGGAGTTTGGCAATCCTTTACGAGATACAACAAAGCCAAAAATCTGCAGTACTATTTCGAAAACAGAGTGAGGAAAAATTGATAATCTTCTGCAATTAGATAGTGAGCATCAACTTTTTAAAAGTTACTGCCCTTTGAGAAAAGTTTGCGAACATTGGAAATTATGAGAATTTGCAACTGTTGAAGAAAGATTGCAACCATTTATTTGAAACTACAAATTTCTAAAATTCAGTTATTTGTATAACTATTATTTCACAATTAATTTTTAAAAATCCAGTTAATCCAGTACTTCTCCATTCACGGCTTTAATTGATTTTGAATGTGGCCATCTTCATACAAATATTGCAATGGGCTATATGCCACACGTGCATGAGCCCAAGTGCCAATCGGCGCTGCAACTACGCCTACAATGCTTTGCATGTAAATGTAGGGATGACAAAAAAAAAAGTGGAAATTACACACAACCCTATGTTTCAAGATCCAAATTCAAAAATCAGGTGGAAGGTTTCATTGTACAAAAATCAGATGTTTTATTAAATATTTTTTTTGAAAAGTATTAAATATTAAACATTAATTATACCATTTTTCCTAATTTTAATTTCATCCCAGCAAACCCGTCACTTCATCTCCATTATTCTCTCTCTCTCTCTCTCTACCTTCCCCAAGCCCTAGCTCATCCGGCCCTGCACCCACTCCTCCTCCGGCACCGGAGCCACCACCCAATCAGCGGCTCAAGGCGGCAGACGCAGCAGAGACATACCGTCTTCTCCTCTCCATCTCCCT